CTGAGCAAACTCAGGGAGGCAGTGAAGGACAGGAAGGCCTGGTGTGATGTGGTTCATGGGGCCACGAAGAGTCGGACACGACTTAACAACTGAACAATAACAACAACAACAATTCAGATCTTAAGAAGACCCAAAAACAGCTGGCTATTCCTGACTGGTGTCTGTGCTAAGTTTCATTGTTGAAAAAAGTTTAAAACTGACCTTTCAGAGCAGCACAGTGTTTCTTGATGGCAACTGGTGTTAGGTGCAAGAAATTAGGAATCTGAAATAATTATGTCTCATTAGAATCAGCCAATATGCAACATCAGGGGTGGACTGGGGGGGCGGAGTCTGAACCTGTGCCTCCTTCCAGCTGCAGGCCCAATCCCTACAGTCTTCCAGCAGACTCTGAATGGGCTCCATTAACCTCTCTCCTCCCACTTCCTTTTCTGTTTATAGAACTGAATGGCCCAAGTGCCTGTCTCTTTCCACAGTCTGGTTTCAGCTAGAGCAGTGTTTCTCAACTTCAGCCACTTTAAGATGTGTGGACTTCAATTCTAGCAGTCTCCTTTTGAAGCAGGGAGCCTGATGTTTTCTCACGCTTCCCTGCAGATCCTCCCAATATCCTGAGAAGCCACCTTACGGAATCAAATGGGCAATCTCCAGGTTTCCTCTTGATCCAAGGAAACTCCGCTTGCTCAGGGGGCAGATCTTCCCCCTGGCTGTCAGTTAATGCTTCAGTGTCGTGCCTGCACTTCATACACACACCTTCAGTCTGCCATGTCTTTCTCCAGAAGTTTTTTTTTTTATGGATTAATTTATTATGTTCAGATTCTATTTCTCCTACAAGGATTCTAGGATAGGGTAGTTGACAGCCCCTCTGGCCATCACAACAGAGGTTAGGCTGATCGGCTGCAGGTGCTTAGAGATTTAAAGCTGGGTCTCCAGATGAAACACACACAATATTAAGCATTTTTTCAGTGTCTATTCAAGGAGAACTAGCTCCTTAACCACCTTGGCCGAGCTCCTGTCACAAATCCTCCAAACAATCTGAAGAAAGGAATGGCTCTCCAGTTTTTCCCACCCAAGTACAAGTACCTAGAATTCCAGATTATGGCCCAGAATGGTACTTATCCAAGTCAGTGCTAATCCTTTACAACAAGCTTGCAGTTATCTTAGAGTCTGGAGAAAAGGGTATTTCTGGCGTAACTATGTTAGCTTGTTCTAGGGACTTGTTCTGCCAAGGTCCCCAGTATGCCTCCCCAAAGACTCCGGATTTTGATACCAAAGCGGTCAGGCCCGAACCTCACCTTCAAAAGTTCCAAGTTGCCTTCTTTTCCAGGAGCCGCGCCGCCTCTGACTGGGTAGCCCATCCGAACAGGGAGGGGCACAGCAGAAGGTTTAAAAGAAGCTGCAGCTGGATAGACGGTTGTCCAGTCCTGGTCAGGCTCCATCTTCTCCCTCCTCTGGGTAGAGCCCTAGTGGACGTCGCAGAACAAAAACCACGCTCAGACGTCGATGCAAATATCTGCCTCGCCTGCGTGCACGTACGTTGGCCACCATTCGTTTCTACTGCCTTCTCTTTTCCAGAGGATTTTCTGAACTACCCAAAGGCTAATTTTGTGATCAGCGGCATTCGGAGCGCAAGCACGGACCTCCTCAGCAGGGCCCAGCAGGACAGCAGCCCGTCCGGGTCACCCGGCTGCAGCGCAGGCATTTGGCGGCTCCAAGGCGTCAGCATCGCGCACATCCCAGCTGTAGCCTGCGGGCCAAACCCTACGGAAG